TCTCATGATCCTGCAGTGTGGTGTACTTTTAAACATTGTCCATACCATGAAAGGTTGGAATAGATGGTTGTGCGATTCAATTGGAGATATTCATCTTCTATTAATTGTGCATGATTGGCTTATATTGTTTTTTTTTTTCCCATAGCTATGTTGTCATTGAGGCCCAACTAAAAGGTCTGTCTTCCCAGTTGAGTTGTAATTTCTATTTTTAATAAAGTTTTTTTATTAAGTTATCCAAGAAAAAAAAAACAAAAAATTGATTAGTGTGCATATGTGAGTGAAAATGCTTGTTCTCATGTAAGGGGGTATGTATCTAATTGATGTTTGGACAATTCAGTATGGGTTTTTCAAATTTGCTTATTTTTCAGTGCTACTTTTATTCAAGANCCCAGCTGAGTTGTAATTTTTATTTTTAATAAAGTTTTTTATTAAGTTATCCAAGAAAAAAAAAACAAAAAATTGATTAGTGTGCATATGTGAGTGAAAATGCTTGTTCTCATGTAAGGGGGTATGTATCTAATTGATGTTTGGACAATTCAGTATGGGTTTTTCAAATTTGCTTATTTTTCAGTGCTACTTTTATTCAAGAAAAATTAATTGCGAATATATTTGAAAAATTCATTAGTAATTTTTTTATGGTACATTGTGTCTTCAAGCACGAACAATTACTAGTACATATATATATCGGATGGAATCAAATTTACACGTATGTAAATTCAAATCTATTTAATTAAATTTAAATAAACAAATTAAAATATTAATCTATACTCGATTAAATAAACTCAAATTTGAATTAAAATTTGCTCCATCGAGAAGTTAGTGGTGATTCAATTAGTGGTGGCATCGGCTCCTNTCTTCAAGCACGAACAATTACTAGTACATATATATATATCGAATGGAATCAAATTTACACGTATGTAAATTCAAATCTATTTAATTAAATTTAAATAAACAAATTAAAATATTAATCTATATTCGATTAAATAAACTCAAATTTGAATAAAAATTTGCTCCATCGAGAAGTTAGTGGTGATTCAATTAGTGGTGGCATCGGCTCCTACTTGATAAGAATTTGAAGAACGATTAGATAGATTTTATGGGCCTTCTACATGCATCTGACGTTGCTCTGACAGCTTTCGCCCATTCTGAAAAATTTCCCACTCCATTTCTGTCAAGGTATTATTGTAATCGTTATTAGAAACAAAACTGAATCGAGATTCAACTCATCTCAAATTAAAGGACCCGCAAATTATACATTATATGAACGGGACTTGTACATACGTCGATAATAATATTTACAAAATACCTTGAATTTTTATAAATTCAGAACAAGTGATGTCGATGTGAATAGANACAAAACTGAATCGAGATTCAACTCATCTCAAATTAAAGGACCCGCAAATTATACATTATAAGAACGGGACCTGTACATACGTCGATAATAATATTTACAAAATACCTTGAATTTTTATAAATTCAGAACAAGTGATGTCGATGTGAATAGAGCTGATTATTCACGAGCATAGGTGAAAAGTTAAAAAAGATTGGCATACGTTTCTATGTTAAGGATACTCAAAGAGGATGAGTTTGATAAGTAGATGAGATGGAATGAACGCGAATAGCTGTTAACAAAGAGACCAAACAATTGGACAGAGGGTAAATTCAGTAAACGCTATCACCAGCCAAATAGAAAATCTCATCCCCTGCAGTGGACAAGTAATATGGGTATTTATAATACAGTGCTTGGAAAAGTCAGACNCGAACGCGAATAGTCTGTTAACGAAGAGACCAAACAATTGGACAGAGGGTAAATTCAGTAAACGCTATCACCAGCCAAATAGAAAATCTCATTCCCTGCAGTGGACAAGTAATATGGGTATTTATAATACAGTGCTTGGAAAAGTCAGACTACCTGAAAAGCTACCCGCTGCAACTCTCTAACACTCGCATCAACCCACAATTACCTCGACTACGACGATTTCAATGGCCNACTACCTGAAAAGCTACCCGCTGCAACTCTCTAACACTCGCATCAACCCACAATTACCTCGACTACGACGATTTCAATGGCCGCTAATCGGAAGCCATGTGTTTCAACATTAGTTAGGCAGATGTGACGTTCCCCAAAACACAACCTGAATGCAGGTCCAAAGAGGGTGTGATAAGTGAGATGAAAGGGGCCTCCCAAGGTTAATGATCGTGACTAGTCACTATGGGACCATCACCTCAAGAGGGCCATATACGCGATGTCCCCAACGCACTCCTACCCGGGTCCTCATTTCCTTCTTTGAACCCTTCTTCAAAACTTTTGTCGAGCTGTCACATAGAGAAAATCCACATAGTTTTGGTCTTTCAGCCAATAATCTATATGTCTCATTATCTCATATGTTCATCCGAACCAATATATCACAGTTACCTTAGGAGTTCATCTAAATCCCAGTCAAGCATATCCCAATAGGCGATGAGCCAAACACTGGAAGACCTGCTCGAATAGACTAAACTATCGAGACCATGCCCTAGGCCGAGATTGACAATCATTCTTTTCTATACCCCGTTACTCAATTCTCATTTAAGGAAAGTCATATTGCCATCTAAGCTGTCAATTCTTGTCATTTGTCCATTTATAGTGTGGACACGTGTCTTGAATATATCGGATACTACAACAAGTAGAATAAACCCCAAGAGATAGTTTAAATAGTAACTGAGACGAACTATAAAGTCATACATTTTGAGTTCGAATCGTAACAATCTTTNCAAGTAGAATAAACCCCAAGAGATAGTTTAAATAGTAACTGAGACGAACTATAAAGTCATACATTTTGAGTTCGAATCGTAACAATCTTTTAGAGTCAGATAATGAGAGATTTTATTTTTCACGAATATTCTAATTCTAACGTAGTTGACCTGTCTTTCATTGGAGAGAGAAAGAGACTAGTCGATCTGTGTGTAAGTTGACCCGAATATCCCGATCGTTATAAAAAAATCAAATAATTGGAACAAAAATGGTATTCTAGTAAACTATCACATAGTGAGAGGGACTGGAAAAAGTGAAAACCTCGTAACTTTTACTTTTGAAAACCTTATAACGCCTTTTACTTTACTTTAGTTTTACATTACAAAAACATCCAACATAATCTTTTCAAGGAATTACATCCATATCCCTAAACTTTGATATTTTTTATCAGGCCGACCCAACAGCATGGGAAAAAAAATATAGGTTTTAGGCTCCAAATTTTTAAAAGGCCCATAATTTTATGTGCATCACTAGCCCATAAAAAAAATTAAATCCATTAAATTTTAAGTCATTTAAAAAAGTCCCTAAAAATTAAATTCAATCAAAATTTTTATTATAATAATTTGAGCCTATAATGTAATCTATAACATTAAAAACATAGAAATTTTAAAAATAAAAAATATATTTAAAAGTCAACTCATATTTACTCTTACCTACACTCGCTCTCTCTCCGATAAAAAAAAATTGAAATTAAATCTCCTCTCTCCCTCTATGTGGTAAAAAAACAAAAACAAAAACAAAAACAAAAATAAAAATAAAAGTTTGAATATCTTTTTTGACAATATTAACACATCTTTCTTTTGTCTCCCTCACACATAAAAATTTAAAAATGAATTAATTTTTTTAAAAAAATTATACTAAAAACAAAAAGACCTCTATTTAATATTTTCGTTTTAGACCTTAAATTAGTTTGAGTCGCCCCTAGTACCAGTTTATCACCTCAATTTCAATCTCTATTTCTTAAAATTGTAACAATTAGGTTTTTCTTGGCTGGTATATTCCATTTAAGTAAATAAGAAAATCAAAAAACATTTTTTTTTCAATTTGTCCGTTAAAATTCAATTTGTTAAGACAAGAATTAAGAAAAAAAATAAATTAGAGGGGCAAAGTAAAATGAATTGCACAATTCAGGGAACATCTATGTAATTTTTATTTCTCTTTCCATTACCAGTACGGCACCACTCACCTAAATCGAGCGTTAAATTCCGTGAAGTACTTCATTCAGTCAACACGTGTCGAAACCACGTGTTCTGCATGAAAGTAAGTGAGCCTTCGATGACGGCGTACTTGTTAGTCGTTACGAATAGTTAACTCTTCACTTTTTGTATTTTTTTTAAAGAAATTATTTCTTTAATATGATTAAATTAGACGAATTAAATCTTCTTTAAACCATCTTTTTTATAAATAATAAATGGGTCCGACAAGACATAATTAATAAACGAATTAAATATAAGTGAAGTCTATAAAAAAATATATATGATAAAACTTATTTTATATATTGATTATACACAATTTATATACAATACAAATTCGATATAACTTGACCCGTTAGACACAAATTAATAAATAAATCAAATATAGATTAAATATTTTTTGGTACGAACTCACTAAGATATGACACAATTGATAGGCATAATTTAAATAATTTTTATATATCTTTCTTAATTATCTGTCAACAACAAATTACTTGTTACTAATTCTTATAATGTTTATTTTTGATACATAATTCCTGTCACTATATAAGTATATGCAGATGATTTATTTGAAAGAAAAATGAAAAAATATATTTATTGATCTAATTTATATTTTTTACCCAACAAATATCGTAAATTCTAATGAATATTAAGGATAATCTTATCTTGCGAAATTGTTTTCCAAAGTTTCGGCATAGATGACTAGTATTTGACCATAGTCGAGGTATAAATTAGTCCGAACAGCTCCATCGTCGAAAAAAAAAACAGTTAAAAAACAATATTTACCAAATCACCTCTTTTTTCTTATAATTTTCTTTTTTTTTTTCAATTTTTTTTCTTCTTTTTATTTTTCTATCTTATGATTTACTTTCTACTTTTCTATTTTATAATTTCAGACCCATTACCGACAAAGAAAGAGATTTAACCAGTACTGTATATCCAATGAGAGGACACAAAAAGAAGAACAAGCTTGGTCAGATCAAAAACAGCAAGCACAGGTACAGAGAGAAGCCATGTCTGCGGAGACCAAATCTAGTGTGGTCAAGGTGAAACCCAGTAGTGGCAATCAAGATGGTTCATCATCAAGAGGCAAAATCGATTCAACTGCAAACAAGAAGAAAGTTGTTGTGAGCTCAACCAAGCAATCTGTTGATTCAAAGCATAGATCTTCCACAACTTTTACAAAAACTGAGGTACCCGTTTTGGAAATTATGTTCTTTTTGTGTTCCAGTTTTGATTAGCTATACTTTTTGTGCACCAAATTGGTATTTTTTCCTGATTTGCTGCTGTGGGCATTTGAGTTTTCATTGAATTATTTTGTTTTCAACCAATTGGATATATTTTGTTCATTGAGATTGTGGGTTTGTGGGTTGATTTTAGATGATTGCAATGCATAGATGATTTGGATATGGTTTTTTAAGGAACACCATTGAATTGGGTGATTTGGGTGTCCCAATTATGTGCTTTTATTATAAATTCTGTGACTCTCTCTCTCTCTCTCTCTCCCCCCCCCCTCTTTTTTGTATGTCTGTGAGCTTAGTTACATATATCCTTCAATTTATACGCTTAAGGATTCGTGCTTGATGAGTTTTTGTAATTTGTATTGTTCAAGTGAAGGTGAAAGCAAAAACAACATCAATAACCACGACGAAAACAACTACTGTCAAAACAAAAGAGAAGAAAGTTTTTTCTTTACCCGGCCAGAAGTATGATCATCCAGAAGAGGTTCTGAACCATTAAACTCTTCATTTACAATCTCTTTATTTTAAAAAGAAAATCAAGAAAAAGTAAAGAAGAGTCGAGACTCAGATTCATCTGATTACCTCTTTGTTTGCTGCTGCTTGTCAACAGCGAGAACCTTTGAGGATATTCTACGAGTCATTGTCGGAACAGATCCCTTCAAGTGAGATGGCTGAGTTTTGGTGAGTTTTTTTTTCCTCATAAATCTGGCACATTTACTTTATCTGGCGTATCCTAGCCTTTACAAAAGCTTCAATTTGGCTGTAATTTCTTTGCTTTGCTTCTGCCACAAATTTTACCAAGTTAACTATGTTGATTGCTTGTTTCTGTTTTAAGCTACTATTTGAGGCATATCCAATCAATGCTAATGTTGTTTTCCAAAATGAAAGATCTATGAGGTAGTCATATTTTAGAGTAAGGATTGTTCGAAGAGGGTCAATTGGTATTGTCAATATTCTAGGTGGAAAATGCTCACTTAATATACCTATTAGTCTTGTGCATTTCTTGTTTAGGATTATGCAGCGGTATAGTAGTTTATCTTATTTTCAAGGTTGCTGTTGAGTGGCTGGTCTATGTTGCAGCATGCTTGTCACGTGCCTAAACTCTCTTTTCTTCCAGAGGTAGTCAAAAAATTACTCTCTTGTTTATGCACATTACTGCCCGTTATGTGTGNTTGCAGCATGCTTGTCACGTGCCTAAACTCTCTTTTCTTCCAGAGGTAGTCAAAAAATTACTCTCTTGTTTATGCACATTACTGCCCGTTATGTGTGTTTGTGGAATGAGGAACATTAAATTGCAACTGTGCTTGAGGAGAATTAGGCTCTCTTTTCCTTTGTCCCAGTCTCCGTTGGTTGCTCACTTTTTTCGCTTCCACCCTATCCACTTATGTCTGTCAGCCGGCAATGTCATGTTGCATGCACTATCCATGTAAATAAAGATGTGGCCAGTAATTTTTACTTAAGTATTCGATTTCATAATGCCGTGACCAGTGATTTTTACTCTATATTCAATTTCATAATTCTTTCATGCCTGGTTGAATATAAACTTGCATTTGTTCACTGGAAAGTACACACCTCTGTGTTACTTGCTAGTGGTTGCAGACCAAATGTTTTAACAATAAAGGAGTTTTATCTTATTTTTTCATCTCAAATTGCGCTGTTTTTGTAAAATACCTTTAACATCTTGTTTTACATAGCAGATCAGGGATGCTGTATTTGTAAATTATCAGGCAAGAAATTAAATGGATAATTAAATTTGCATAGTTAAGTGTGGGCTGATGTAATGACTTAACTGGAGGCTGCAGGGGAAACTATTACTATGCTGATTGATGATGCACAAAATTGCATTTATGCACCATCTATCGAGTGATTAGTATGGTTAATAAAATGCAGTAAATATGATGGAGAACTGAACACAAGCAACACACAAAGATAGAGTGGTTCAGTCAGGATGACCTACTCCACTACGCAAAGGTAGGATGATGTGAGTTGGTTTATTGCTTTAAAGAGTGTTGGGTGCTCAAGTGTGAGTGATATATGAGAAACAAGATGTGAGAGATGCCCCCCATGAGTAGGCGGGGCTTACAATTTATAGACGCCTCCTAACAGATTAAGTCGCCTTATCAGTAACAAAAAGGCTGATTTAGTGGAGTGGACATCATCCTCACAACATGTGAGGCAGTCGTTGAGAGCGCGCGGAGATCTTCTCATGACCAGGTCCCAGGATGGTGTGGCAGACCTAATCACTCTAAGATGGCGTGAATGAGGCTCTAGGATGGCGTCGCTGACTTCTTCACTCTAGGATGGTGTGATTGTCAGGGCTTTGATGAGCCTGACTTGATCTAGGTCTCTTCTGGCCGGATCCACTGTCTGAGTTGGGCCTTCGTAGGGTTGGGCCCACTATCTGAGTTGGGCCTTGGGCCAGGCCCATCATTATGATGATTCTCTAATATTTTCATTAGGGTTGTAATGTGTTGATTGGATGGCTTTAGGGGCAAGGGGTTGTCTTTTGGGGACAGGTTTGGGGGGCTGGAGCTGTTGCATATGGGATATTGGGAGGAACAAAGTATTGACCTGGACATTAGGAATTTCTTGGTCTGTTGCCTATTTTTTAACTTTGAAGGCAGACTCTCTAAGGCTTAGTGTTCGTAACTGTCTCTTCTGTATAAGAAATATATGAATCTCCCAAACCTATCCGGAAGAACAATTAATCCATCCATAGAAGCAATTGAAGCAGGCCATGAAAGTGAGGTCAATGCAATCAATATATTTGAAAAACCATCATTGAGGTGAGAAAGCCACAAAAGATCCTGAGGACAAGTTTGGGATTATATAATAAGAAATAGAACAGGCAATGATAATCTCCAATAAGTTTCAAAGACCCACAAAATTCTGTACATAATTTCCTAACATGTTTTGAAAAATTTGTGCCCCTGCCTTAGTCCAACTGGCAACTGCACCTAATCATTTTGCAGTGTAGAGGAGTTGAAGAGAGTGCAATTCTCAGAAAAAGAGTTGGAGAGAAATCTCCACTGTTTGTCTTCCTTTGTACTCAAATGTTCTCCTTTTTCTGAACATAAACCTCTTCTTTTCATTGGAAAACAGGAGCTTGCTCACCATAATCTCTTAGAATAAGAAGACTTTAGATATGTCTAGAACCAAAAATTAATACCAGATATTTTAGATTAGAAATACTAAAAGTGGGAGACAGTTCTGATGGGGAAGTAAACATACGGTTTCCAAGATGACTAATGAAGGATGTATTGGGGTCATAAAGTTGTTGAATGCATCCTAAATTGGTGGATCTACCATTTGACAAATGAACTTTGGGTGTACTTGCACTGGAAAATGTTCGAAAGATTTTATGGGAAGCATTTTTTTTAATATAAACATGAAATTGGAGAAACAAACAATTAATTTTTGGCACTTAGGTGAAGTTCGAAGCATGTTGCATCATCCTCGACTGGTGAAGTGTTCTACTTCTTGGCTTTTCGTCCAATTGTTTGGGAATCTTGCTTATGTTTTCCAACAACTAGGAAATTGATGCAATTGACTCAGTCAAATTGCATATGGAATATAATTGGGAGTCTTTTACTCTTCACAGTCATGAGTTTTTCTAGTTGTAGTATGAGCTCAAAACCCTTTTTTTTTTTTAAAACAGATCATTTTATTTCATTTCTCAAAAAACAATTACAAACATATATCATCTCCTCCATTCCACTGTACAAAAGAATAAGAAAAAGAAAACATCAACTAAATGATTACTCTCTTCTTCCTTAACACCTTCAATCCCAGCTGATCATGCAACAGCAAGAGCTTCGCATGAAGAGGTAGGGCCACTGAATGAGTAAAAACAGTCGAAACCCTGTCCTGAACTGCTTTATTAGCTAAGAAGTTAGCTAATGCATTGCCTTCCCTATACACATGAGTTAAGCAATAATCAAAACTGCCTAACACCTCCTTTCTCTGGTGCCCTTTCAACACCATCACCTTTGAGTCAACTCAAAACCTCACAATAAATGAAACTTAAAGGAAGGTCAAGGTCAGAGATGGACTTAAGCCTAAGCACATAAAAATTTATTTAATTTTTTTTTTTTTTTTTTTTTGGGGGGGGGGGGGTTGNGTCAAGGTCAGAGAGGGACTTAAGCCTACGCACATAAAAATTTATTTAATTTTTTTTTTTTTGGAGGGGGGGTGGGTTGTGGTTAGCTGAATGCAAAAAAAGACGGAAGGAAACAATCGTGATTGTCATTGATGAACATACATCTATTGGAAAATAAACTTATTTTAGAGTTTTATTATATTATTAAAGTGTGTTAATTTGGTGTTGGTTAGTGGGCATGGAATATGCAAGTAGTGGAAGACAATAGTATTAGTAAGTGTATTAATTCCCCAAGTAATGATTTCTTAATATTTTAGAAATTACAAGAACTAGTGGGTGTAGTGGTGTGCAAATATAATGCTAGGAGTTATGATTTAGACCTATATAAATAGGATAGATGTTATAGTGTTTCAAGTTAATAGAGTTAAGTAGAAGTTGAAGAGTTTAAGTGTGTGCTTTATAATCAACTTGAATAAAATTATTTTTTTCTTTGATTGTTCATATTCTCCTCTACTTCCTTCCATTTGTCCACTTGATTCAATAAAGTCGTATTAAAACGATTTTCTAACCGAAGTAACATTGGAATAATTCGAACAAATTGGTATTAGAGCCCCCTTTCGATCCTAGAAGTCTGGATAATTTTTCATCATAGTCAGCTTTACGGTCCAGAAAATCTAGATAACTCTCCATAAAAGCCCGCTTTATGATCCTAAAAGTCTAGATAGCTCACTTTCAAAGTCAGTACGGTCCTTGAAGTCTTGATAGATCATCACGACTATGATGATTGTGGAATATTCACCAAATATGTGTTTTTGGTGTGAAAAGGTGATGTTCTCTCATTATAAGAGAATGAAGATTATTCTTCCTTTTTATCGCAAAGTGTGTGATTTATGGGATGTAATTGAAAAAAAGCCAATGAGTGGCTTATATAAAAAAATCCGAGAGAAGAAAAAGGAAAAAGAACTCAAAGTTCTTAAGAAGACGATTCATCCTGAGATTTGGAAGCTTGTAGGAGATTCAAGTTCTCCAAATCATGTTTAGAAGATGATTGAGAGTGTAGTATCTAAACATGGAAGTGAGTTTTTACCCAATGAGTATTGGGTACAATACTTTGAAGAAAATGGGTTTACCAAAGAAGAGTGTGATTTTGAAGACACACCAATGGAGGACCAAGAAGAGCATCATCCCGAGGAAGCCAAACATGTTGAGGAGACCCAAAGTGAAGTTAAAGTTCAAGAGTTTAAAGAGGATGAAAAAAACAATGAAGTTGAAGAAGTAATTCAAAAAATGGAAGAGCAAAAAGTTAGTGAAGAACTTTATTTAAGGAATGAAAAAAAAATCGAGGAACTTATCGTAGTTAAGGATGTTGAAATGAACCCTTATGTAGAAATGTTGAAAAATGTCTTTCCAATGGAAAATCAAAGTGAAGATCGTCATACTGAGATTTTTGAAAGCCCCATTCAAGGTAATGACTTTTTTGAAAATAACAGGACTTGTTATTCACAACTTGGTGTAGAGAATGTTTTGATTAGCATAGGTTGGGTGAATATGGAAGAATTTTTCGATCCAAGAGAGGTAGCACAATACAAATTCAGAAGTTTGAGCAAAAAGGTCGATGTACAAGGAGTAAGAAGAAAATTGGCAAAATAAAGATAATTTGCAAGTATAAGCATCATAAGCCCTATACGACAATGGAGATGACTTTTAAGATTCTTGCAATTGAAGGAGGAGGTACTCATGTCCATGAAGTTCCTATTAATTCCATGAAGTCTCTCTATCATGAAGTGATTTGCAAAATAAGGATTCGGAGGTGCAAAATCAAGTTTAAGGGGAGGGGGGATTTGAAAAATAAACTTATTTTAGAGTTTTATTAAATTATTAATGAGTGTTAATTTAGTGTTAGTTAGTGGGCATGGAATATGCAAGTAGTGGAAGTCAATAGTATTAGTGAGTGTTAATTCCCCAAGTAGCGATGTCTTAATATTTTAGGAGTTACAAGAGCTAGTGGATTTAGTGGTGTGCAAATGTAATGATAGGAGTTATGACTTAGACCTATATAAATAGGTTATATGTGATAGTGTGTCAAGTAATTAGAGTTGAGTAGAAGTTGAAGAGTCTAAATTAATTGTGTGCTTTGTAATCTACTTGAATAAATTTATTTTTTTCTTTGAGTGTTCATATCCTCATCTATTTCCTTCAATTTGTCCTCTTGACTCAATAAAGTGGTATTAGAGCGATTTTATAACCGAAGTAACATTAGAGTAATTCCAACAATGCTCGTGTATGGCCAGGAGGTAATTGCATCTACAGTTATTAGACCAAGCATGTTTTATGCTGCAAAATGTGAGGCAATTAAGAAATAATAGTTAGAGAATAAGTTTGATCTAAATGCAAATGTAATGACGATGATAAGTTAAAACAAGAGAGAATACAATTATGAATATATGCAGGAGATCGTGGAAGTTGCACCGATATGCAATTAAGTGAGAGAAAACCAGTTGAGGTAAATTTGTACACGTTCAATGAAGACCTACAATGTGATAGCTTATGATTTGATGGAAAAGATGGTTCTAGATAGAGATCAAATGGACGAATGGGATTTATATAATGAATACCAATTAATTGAGACCATACTTGAGAGTTTAGTTAGAAAGAAATTTCATTTCGTTTTTTTAATTGCACACCAACCGCACATCTTTATTTTCTCTCAGCACGATTGAGCTAGAGCTTATTGGAGGGTGCATCCTTATTATTATTGAATTACCACATTTATTGTGGAATGAAGAGGCACAAGAAATAAGAGAC